GTTTTGCAAATTGAATGGGAGTTTGTCCATATTTAGTTATTTGATGGATTTGGTGGAAGCCTAAGTTTCTACATTTCTAAAACTTTCCAGTGCTGATGCTGCTGGGCTGTTGAACTTGCTTTAACTTGAAAGGCTTTAGCAAGTAAACAGTTTTTAAATAGATGTGTCCTCTTATTTAATAAAATTTACAAACATTGAACATTATCCCTTGATTTCCCTGTGCTAAATTACATATGAACTTGTTATAAAAATCTACTTTTCCTTGGTTTCAGGATACCAAGGTGACCTTTTGCCCCTGTTAAAGGCCCTGCGAGGTTTCTTATTGGCACAGATACAAGAGTCTAGTTAAAATTCCAGGATGTTAGAGCAAAAGCACTGTTTTCATTGGCGCCTGTTGCTTTGTTACTTAAATGTATGAAAACATTTTGAGTAGTGTAACAGAATGACAAGATGTTGAGGATGAGGAATGGGGAGAGGAGAGTTAAACTTCAGAACATTTTGACAAGGCTATTCTTTCACACAAACTGTCCAAAAGCTTCTAGATTTCTGATATCATGTAATTGGCTTGAAGTTCCCAGAATTTGAGATTGTAATTTGGGAGAAACAGATGAGGAAATCAAGGATCTTCGCTGACAGCTAACAGATTTGTGAGGTGATTTGGTTTATGTGTATATACTTTGGGATTGTTCCCTTTAATTTTTTTCAGCGGTGCCGGGGGGTGTTCTGGGGATTGAACCCAGGGCCTTGTGTATGTTATGGTGCATTCTACCACTGAGCTGCAACCCAACCCCTATTACTATTATTTTTTAAACACATCTATATAGTATTTACCACTTTATATTTTCTTTTATCAGTGAAGTTGTTATCTTTATTTTAACCATCTAACTGTTGTGTGGGTTGTCTGTCAGATTTGAGCATGATAACAAAAATCCATAAAGTAGTTTCTTTCTTTTTGCAAGGGTTTCTAGGTACATGGGGGATGGGATTCAGGAATTTGACCACTGTCATAAGCAGGATGAAATGTATCTGTTTAATTTGTATTTACTTAGTTTTCCTTACAGTGATATTGATATGTTTGTTTTTGCTGTTTGGGGAACATTTGCTACCAAGAACCACAAAAGAAAATTTTATGATGCTATAGATATCTGTTTTATCTAAATACCAGTTATTATAAGTTCCTAAATGAAAAATCATTTAATTATGTTGAACCTAAGTATTTTGAAAGTGATAGTGAAAAATTATTCTCTTCAAAAGTGGTTTTTCAGATTGAGATGTTTAAAGGAAGTTCTTTTTAGATGACTTTCCAAGAGTACTACAAGGAAGGAATAATGAACAGTCTGGAGAAGTGATCAGAATAATGTTGCTGGAATATAATAAAAACTTTGTATAGAATATTTTGTGAGAGGAAAACTCACTTTCTTTTGTTCTTGCTTTAAAGGTTAATTAAATATAAACCATACTAGCTTGCTTATTTCATTATTAGTTCGTTTATTAATGCATCTTTAGGATACATCTGTTCTTTCTTGCTTTATTATAAAAGCTATCTAATTCCCCTCATTCTCCCCTCCAGTTGTTTCCCCTTCAGTTTATTTTCCAAATTTTGGAAAAATCTTAACTCCGTCATTTCCCTACTTCAGTCCTATATGCTTTGGGTGAACTACATATTCCTGTTTAGCATGAAGTTATTAGGCTTTTGCTTACCTTCAATGTTTTTTCCCCCTCCCCTCTGCTTCTCCAAAGTTAAACTGTAGTCATATTGAACCATAAAGGTTTCCCCAACCTAACACATTCTCCTTTGCTTCAGGCTCTTGTTCATATTTTTCTCTCTGCCCAGAACTACATTTCCTGTAAGATGGGCTAATCCCTTAGGAAAATTTAGATACCACCTTTTTGGATGCTTTTCCTGAGTATCACTACCACCCTGGTCTCCAGGTTAGGTTAGGTTCCTTTCTTGTTTACTCTTTTTTAAATGAAAAAACAAACCTCAATATTTTATTATGTGATTCAACAGATTGTTTACTCTTAAAGCACTTATATCTTACATTTCTTGGATGTTTAGGAGGTATTGGAGATCAGGAATTATTTTATTTATGGAATTATATCTTCAGTGTTTGATTCATGATTATAGTACTTACCTAAATATTTGTCTGCTTAAAAAGAAATAAATATGTAAAAAAAACTCTGCAGGCTCCCAGAGTTTAGATGACTGCAGATCCTCATACATCCAAGAGCCCATTTTCTTAAGTATATTTGTAGTCAGTAATGCTGTTACTACCCTTTGATTAGTCCTCTTTACCTTATTTACCTGTAGCTTAGCATTTGGCCTATTTCTCTGACTTTAAGGGTTTTTTTTCCTAGATGTAAAATTAGTCCCCGATTCTTCTTGCCTAAAAACTTTGTCTTCTGTTTTGGCTATTCACATAAAGTGTGAAAAAAAAATCAGTGCCTTACATTTATTTAATATCTAAAAGCTTAGTGTGCATTTTTTACATTTATCACCTAATGTAAAAGAAGAGATAAATTCCGTAGAAGTACTAAAGTTTCATTCTGTCATATTCATCATTTCAAACGGAGAGAAAGTTGTGGGAGGATATATGTATATGTGTGTGTGTGTGTGTGTGTATGTGTGTGTGTGTGTGTGTGTGTGTGTATTATATATATATATAATTTTTAGTTGTTGATGGATCTTGATTTTATTTATTTATACGCAGTGCAGAGAATTGAACCCAGTGCCTCACACATGCTAGGCGAGTGCTCTACCATCGAGCCACAACTTCAGCCTGAAAGTGATAGCTTTTTAAAGTACATAAAAATGACACTTAACCTTAGAATTGAAGCAGGCTCTCAAAAGAGTTCAGTTGAAAAAAAAAGAATCAATAACCTATGCTAAGCATTTTTCATGCGTTATTTATTACTCATAACTCTATGTAAGAGTTCTCATGGCATAAATTAAAAAGATTTTTTTTAAACTCAAAAAATTCATTAAAAAAAACAAGGGGGAGAAACGAATTACAGTAGATGGGGTAGAGAGAGACGATGGGAGGGGAGGGGATGGGGGATAGTAGAGGATAGGAAAGGCAGCAGAATACAACAGACACTAAAATAGCAATTTGTAAAACAGTGGCTGTGTAACCGATGTGATGCTACAATCTGTATACGGGGTAAAAATGGGAGTTCATAACCCACTTGAATCAAAGTGTGAAATTTGATTTGTCAAGAACTATGTAATGTTTTGAACAACCAACAATAAAAATTAAAAAAAAACTCATTAAAGCTTAAGGAGGCTAAGATCACATAGTTAATGGCAAGCCAGTATTTAATTTAGAACTCTTCAAACCTTAAAGTTTTGCTTTTATATCATTGTGTACTTAGGCAGTTCTTGCAACCCTGGGGGTATCTTGAATATATTCTGAGATTTAAAAGTATTCCATGCATGATTTGATTTTGTATTTTCAATTTGATGATAATCAAAACAAATTACACATATATATGTGTGTGTGTGTGTGTGTATATATATATATATATATTATGGATCATCTAGATGAATATTTTAATGCTAAGTAATAGTATTTTCATCCTTTTGTTTTTCAAATATTACTATTATAATTGTTATGGGCCAATAAGAAAAGGACAGCAGTAGACCTGATGACATAATGTGTTCAAATGATATTATGATATACAAAATGAACTTAATTTAATATTTGTATATTTTTAAGATTTGTAGATTTAATATTTGTATATTTTTAAGAATTATAATTTATCAACAGGGGATTTAGAAAAAACTTGCCTTTATAATTATTTTATTTTATAGTATAATCCAGTCTATGTGGTTTGTTACAATATAAACCATTCACCTCATGAGGATTAAGCATATAATTTTGTTTAGGGGAGTGCTCAAAAGCTTTGCCAAGATACTGCTATATAAACTTTATATTAAAGAATGGGTGTTTGGGGGGCTGTGGTTGTGGCTCAGTGAAAGAGTGCTTGCCTAGCATGTGGGAGGCACTAGGTTTGGTTTTCAGCACCACATAAAAATAAACAAATAAAAGTATTGTGTCCATCTACAATTTAAAAACAAAGAGTGAGTGCATGTATGCTCAGCAAAGAAAGGATAAGGACATTAAGGCATCTAAAAACATCAAAACCAAAAATTTCAAAACTGGACACTTACTATGTGAGGGAATAGTAAAATATACAAGATTATTAAGGAACTTTTGTAGTAATTAAGGGAATTTGGATATTGCTATTTAGCAGTATGAATCAAAACAAAAGCAAAAAGCAGGAAATATAAACTGAATTTATAAAATTTAATTGCGTGCATACTGAATTTTAGTAAATTATGTTTTGTATACAGTCAGAACCCCTTTGAAGCAGAAAGTAAATATTTTTTATAGTGAAAATAAATTGCCCTGTAAATATCAGATGTATAAGTTGAAAAAAAAATTTTTTTGCCCTTCTGTCTCTACATCTCTCCTTCCCACCCTCTCTCTCTAAGCCTATTCTTTATTAATTAAATCAGAAATTTATAACTTTATTTTCCCCACCAGCTGACTAGGACACTTTAATGATTAATTAGCCCACTTGATTTAATTATTCTCACTTTATGGAGAAAACTGCTTAGGTGTTTTTCTGATCACCAGCATTTATTTCCACTAAGGGGGGAAAAAAAACCTGTTTACTATTATCTGCTTAATAGATCTGTTTTTGTTTTGTTTTAGTTGTAGACAGATATAACACCTTTATTTAATTTATTTATTTTTATGTGGCGCTGAGGATTGAACCCAGTGCCTCACACATGTGTGGAGTGCTCTTCCACAGAGCTACTGCCCCAGACCCTAGATTTTGTTTAATTAGTGACTTTACTAGTGCCTTGATGTTTTCAGTTAACCTGCAGATATTACTTCTACATTACGCATGTTACAGTGAAATGTCCAAATTAAATTCAGTTTTAAACTCAGCCCTGTGATATCAGAAGGTGAAAAATATGAATGGTGATATTATTTTGCATGTGCCTGTTCATGTGTGGTTGTTTATATGTATGATTACACTGTAGCATTCACAGCATTCATCCTCCACATAGCCTTGGGAGGTAGTAAATGGAATATCTACAAAAGCACTTTTCAGGTGGAACAGGGAGACAAGATAGCAGGAAATGAAAAGCCATGTTATCTTTTCCTGCTGATTCATTACTTTTCCTAGGTCTTGGGGTCAGCAACCTCCAAAGGTCTGACTTCTACCAAGAAGGGTTGAGTCTATGGCTAATTCCCAGAGGCCTGAGGCATCATACCCCCTGCAAAGAAAAAAAGAGAAAAGAAAGTTAAATGACGTTGGAGTATTGGAGAATAATAAGAAAATTTAGGGAGAAAAAATAATAGAGAAGGGCAAGAGGTTATACTTGTTTATTTCTCTTACTATGAACATTTTATTCAAAAGTATAAAGTTACATATTCTGTTTTACACATTGGATAGAAATTAAGATAATGCTTTAAATAAAAGGATGTTTTCATCTGTAAAAATGCTTGTCATTTTTATGTTTTTTTAAATATTTTTTTCAGAATGCATAAATCGGAGAAATCCAGAAGCAAGCAACATAGAGCAGCATTCCCTTCTCCCACACTGTTTTAAAGGAAGGAAAAAAAAAGTTAACAACATATTTATTCTGTCGTAGATCCAAAAAGCCAAGTCAGTATTTTAAGGCAGGGGTTTTCTTTGGTTTTTCTGTTTCCCTACCACACCTTCAGATTTCTTGGCAGTATATAGGCATAGTATTGTGACATATTCTTGGTCTGTTTTCTCAGACTTTGTAAGTTGATTTTGACTCTATTAACAATGCTAGATTCTTATTGTGACATAATTGGGAAATAGACAATGACTGATTGAGGGGGGAAAAAAAACTCTACAAATTGTACTGTTGTGTATGAGAATAGGTTCCCTGCTTTTCTTTTTCTTAGGCCTGATGCTATTCCTAGGCAGTGACATTTCTATGATTTAGGGGATTCTATATCTGTCCTGTCTAGAGTAAAAGCCACTTCTTTTCTTTCCCTTTTAATTAAGCTTGTGGGATAAATAGTTACCCATCAGAATTCTCCATCTTAGTTCACTAATGCTGAAAAATATAGTTCACCTCTGGTCACCATCTCTGTTCTTTTTAGCCTACTTATTCTTTCTCTAGTAGTTCTTACAGCTACTGCCTATTTTTTCTTTTCTTTCTTTTTTTTTTTTTTTTTTTTGGTGCCAGGGATTGAACCCAAGGGTGCTTAACCACTGAGCCACATTCCCAGCGTCTTTTTTATATTTTTATTTAGAAACAGGATCTCTCTAAGTTGCTGAATCTGGCCTTGAACTTGTGATCCTCGTGTCTCAGCCTCCTGAGCTGCTCTGGTTACAGGCATGTGTCACTGTGCCTGGCTACTTTTTCATTTTTAATTTCTTGTACCTTCATGTTTCATATCTTACCTGGCTTAGATATCTTAGTCCTTTTCTATAGTCACTCCCTTATAAATGCTCTTTATCTACTTGTTCTTTTTCTTCTTTCATATTTGCCCTGTAAAAATCTCAATTCTGGTTTAAAACAGGTATTTGCCTGTATTGCCTCAGCAGTGAACAGCTGCCTGATACTGGGGGGAAAAATCAAACAACTGTTCTGTCTGATTATGGCCACAGATCTTAAATGTACTCCTAATTTTACAGGCAATCCTAATAAAAATGCCTATTAAATTTTCATTTTCAGAGATGACTCTATCAACTCTTTCCTTTTGTCAAATCTGCAGAATCCTCCCCTCCTACTCAGAGTTGCTGACTTCATTTCACATTACCTTGAGAAAATTCACATTATTGGATGTTATCCACTGCATCTTCCACCATTAAATCTACTAGTCTTTTTTCATCTCTACCTGTGTACTTTGCAATAGAGTCACTGTTCCTGAGTAAAACTCTGCCACTTTTTGTCTTAAATCTCTCAGTTCCCCAATCTAAAGAGCTGCCTCTTCCTAAATGAGAGATTGTTCTCTTTCTTTTATGTTGAAATTTCTGCTGTCTCCTGTTCATTATAGCAAAGCATACTAACATGTCTTAAAGACTCACCTTCCTTTTTTAAAAAAATCTTTCCCTTGACACGATGTCCCCTTCTAGTTGTCAGCCCATTTCTCTTTTCACCCTCAGCAGAATTTGTTTAAAAAGAAAAACTGACTATAATTGTGTTCTGTATTTCCTCACCTTTGTTCAAATTTGTCCAAACAGCCCTATATTTTTAGCAGTCTTCTGAAACTACTCTTACCAGGGTTGTAATATTCACGTTGCCAGATCAAAAAGTTCCTTACTTTACTTTTCAGCATCATTCTACATATTCCCTTCCTTGAAACACTAGTTTTTTGTAGCATTTCTGACACAGATTCTCCTCATTTTACTGCTCTTTCACTTGTCATTCCTTTGCTATTATCATTTTTGGTTCTGTCACATTCTAGACCCTGAAGGGCTTCATTCTCAGCTCTATTCTCTTTTTTATATATACCTTTTTGAAAGTTATATATACCTTCTAGTCTTATGACTTTCAGTATCAATCATTTTTCAATAGCTCCCAAACTAATATGTATAGTGAGGCTTTCTAAAATAAAATACTAATTATCTACAGAATTTCTTTAGTTCAAGAGCTAACTTAGCTTTACCCAAAGCATATCTCCCTTTTCAAAACCTGTTCTCCATAGCTGGGTGTAGTGGCTCACACCTGTATCCCAGCAACTGGGGAGGCTGAGACAAGAGGATCACGAGTTCAAAGCCAGCCTCAGCAATAACAAGGTGCCAGGCAACTCAGTGAGACTCTATCTCTAAATACAAAATAAAGCTGGGGATGTGACTCAGTGGTTGAGTGCCCCTGATTCAATCCCTGGTACCAAAAAAACAAACAACAAAAAACTGTTTTCCAGTTTTCCCCAGCTATCACCAGTTGTATTAGGCATTAACCCACAAAGTAATCATTGATATTTTTCTCCTCCTGCTTCCCATATTACCTCTGTTAGTAAGTCCAATCACACTGAAAAATGTATCTGGAATTCAGTCACTGCATTGTACTCTTTTTGGTGAACTATTGCCTCTTGCTCATACTTCTGCAGATGCTGACTGGTGTCTTTACTTTAACATCTTGCTCCTCGGCTAGTCTCATATCCATGGCACTTAGATTGAGCTCTTAAAACTTAAAAGTACATGTTGTTACTCATTTCTTAAAACCTTGCTGTGTTCTCATACTCAGAATAAAATTCAGACTTCTTAACATAACTTAGAAGACTGCAACATCTGGCTTCTTGCCATCTCCGCACCACTATTTCTGTTCATTACATTCCTCAGTATTGCCTGCCTGCCTTCTCACCTTTGTCCCTCCCTTCCTAACCAGATCTTTCTGTTTCAAAGCCTGTGCATTTGTGATTCTTGCTTCCTCTTGTCCCAGATCTCTGCATGGCTCACTCCCTGGTGGTTCCTCAGGGTTGTCTTCCTAGACTGTTTTAGCTAACAGTGTTTCCATTACATTGCTAGTTTTATTTTTTTTATTGAATGTGTCACTGTGCTATGATATTGTTTGCTTAATAGTGTATATTATCTGTTTTCTCCTTTCAAAAGTTTTTGGTAAGCATGAGATGTTGTATTATTTTCTTTTTCTTCTCAGTAAATATTGTTGTGAATAAAGGAAGGCCAATTGGAATTTTTGGGGAAAATTTTGTCAAATAAGTTGAGAGTGCATACTGGTTTTCTCTCAGACAAATATGGTGCTTTCCCTTAGTTGAATAAAAACTTGAATGTTTATTAGGTTACTCTTATTTTTCTTAGTTTTAATGAGCATCCCTTTGTATTTTGTGATATCAAGGAATCCCTTTCCAATGCAAGAGGTTTTGCAGTGATCTATAAAACTCTTTAGCAGAGAGTAGCAAAACCATAGCCTCCTTTGAGACTCATTTTTGTATAGCTTGCAGACTAAGAATGGGTTTTACTTTCTTTTTTATTTTTGAAAAAAGAACAACAAAAACAAGAATTTGTGAAACAGATTGTAATAGTTCATAAATTATAAAATACTTACTGTCTGCCCTTTTACAAAAAGGGTTGGCTTCCCCTTGCTGGAGGATCTGGCCTACTGTTGTCTGTCTAATCTCATCTAACAGCAGATTGCTTCTCAATCTAGTCAATCACAGAAAGTCCTCCTTTCTATTCTTCATCAGATCAGGCCCACTCTGACCTCAGAATCTTTGCCTTTACTCTTCCTTCATGTGTAATATTCTTACCCCAGTGTGTGAATATGGTGGCTTATTCCTCCATTCCTTCACAGATTTGCTTCAGGGTTACCTCCATAGAGTGGTCTTTTCTGAACACTTTAATTCCTAAACTCCATGTATTCCTTCCTCTTTCATTTTTTTTCCCATTGGATTTATCTGCATCCTACCTATTGTATATTTTACTTATGTTCTTTGTCTTTATAGAAAACTTAGTGAGCGGTGAGATTTTTGTCTCTGTTGTTCACTGTCATGTCCACAAAGACAGTAACTGGTACACATTAAATATTTGTTACATAAATGGTAATAAAGTGATTCTGAGAATCAATATTTAAAAAATAGCTTATTCTAAAACATTTCAGTAAACATTGACTAACTGCTATAAGACAAGACAGGCCTTGTCTTCAATCTGTGGAAATGTGAAAGTAAAGTCATTTCTCTCAAGGACATCAGTGTGGTACTGAGAACAAACATAGAAATAAGTGAAATAAAAGTAAGATGAGATTTATTATCATGCAGTTCCTTTGTTAATTAAAAATTTTAACTTGATAATTTAAAATATTTTTATATAAGTTAAAATGTTTATAAATATGACATTAGTAATAATTTTTATATTCTGTATTGGTATCTATTTTTTATTATGACTTATTTTGTATAAAGAAATATTCTCTTCATAAGGAAACAGTTTTGTAAAAGTAAAATCATTATTTAAATTGACCTTGAAATATCAGAAACATTTTAATTAGACATAGAACATATGAAAGTATCATTTTAGTTTTTTAATGCATTTTTTGCAGGAATAAGAAATTCTTATTTTTAAGCCAAGTTTAGATATTTATGTGGTATTATGAAATTTTGTATCTTAACTTTTATATTAACTGAATGAGTAAAATTAGGAAAGTAAAATGAAAAGAGTGTGTGTGTGTTGCTTTCTCTCCATAGGTAATGTTTTATATATAATATTGATGTTAATATATAATATGATACTCTAGCAGTATCATTTTACTTCTAATTAATGTATTTTTTAGTCCTTTGT